TATCAAAACGTTGTTATGAATCCACGCGGAAAGTCAAGATACTGAAAAGCATAGACAGAATTTGATCCCACTAGATACTAATAATAGGCAATGGCAGCACACCACGTTTCGCATTTTGGTCCCTGTTGATTTTTCAAATAAGAGAGCTAGTTTACAATTAAATTTATTTTTGGATAGCTGAAAATTTAAATAGACTTCATAATGCATTTAAAGGAACATCAAGATTGTGTTATATATGTATTATGGGCGGTTTTCTGTATGACAGTCCGTTTTTTCATATCCATACAAGACATTGGTCCGGCAATTATTGAAATGTTTTTTTTTTCCAACTTTTGCGAAAAAGTGAGCCCAATTTTTATTTAATCATTTGGTAGGTTAATGTCAACAGTTTCAGAAATGGTATCAATCAAAGGCATGAACATTCTAGTTTGAACCCAATTTATTGTGAATATGTGACATCTTCATGCCCATTTTTGTCGAACGAACTTTGTGATCAACTTTTGCGAAAAAGTGAGGCGACAGACACCCATTTTTATTTGATCATTTGGTAGATTAATGTCAATAGTTTCAGAAACGGTATCAATCAAAGGCATTGAAATTCTAGTTTTTGTACACACAAGATACAAATGATAGGCAATTACGTCAGGTTGCCTGTTCTTAAAAAGCGATCAAGTACACATAATTAATGTTTAAGAGGTCATCTGGTTTTAGAATTTTCTTATATAATCTTAATTTAGAATTTCACTATAAGTTTCCTGTATTTAATTTTCATTCAAACATTTTTTATATACGTTTCGGTTTTTGTTCTGAATTTCGAAATGAATACGTAAACATGCGCTTCCGTACTTATTTTACAGTAAATTATTCTTGAAAGAGTGTTTCCCAAACTCTCGCCTGGTAAGAAATTGTTGTAAGAAATTATGTTATTCTCGCCCAGAAGAGCTAAACGATGTATTCCATCAATTATTCTTGCAAAAAATTGTCTTCTGTTTTATAAAGAAGTAACAAAATACGTCTTGTTCATCAGAATTTTTTGCTCTTTGCCTTTGAGTTGCGATTACGATATTTGGAACATTGGTGAAAAATCAGTAATTAAAAATAATAAACAAGCGAGTGGTGTGACTATTTGATTTGTGCTTATTATTCTTAACTTGTACTATGTTTTAAGATATTCTTTATTTTGCATACTATGCTTTTAACTTTTATATGTCATTTATGGTATCTTACTATGCACTGTCTGTTTAAAATTGTGTTGTTTTCATGACTTTTGAATTTGTGTATATATTTTGCTATTTTTTCGATTTGAATCTCACTTGAGCTTGTGTTTATGTAGTTTATTGAATATCGACTTTGAATAAAACGTTGAATTGAATTGAATTAAATTGAGACGCGCAATATTAAAAATATTCATCCAGCGAGAAAAATAAAAGACATGAACGTCTGTGTGTTCTCTTATTAAGGGGGTAGACCTGAGGTATGGGAGACAACTCTTACACATGTATTGGAAGTCCTTTGTGCGTTGAAACATAGCAGTTATTGAAACAGTGATCAAGCATTCATGTTGTTTACATTTGGCTGTGAGAATGATGCAGGCAGATCCAGGAAAGTAGGAAATGTAAGACACCACCAAGCATTAAACTACATTGGTTTAAAAAGAAATGCTTAAAAACACAAATGTACTGAGGAGTTCTGGAACGTCTATAGTGTCTTGTTATATCATTTAGATACAATCTTGGAAGGATTGGAAAAATTTAATTTGAAAAAAATAAATTGAATAATGAAGTAATATGGTCTTAGTGCTAGACTATTGCCAGTATTGGTGAATAGGCTATACTTAACTGTATGTCTATGGTTTTCAAATATAAACGGCATTATTCTAGAAGATATGATCTGAACATCCAACCTAGTACAAGCTAATGCTAATAGATCATTTTCATTAGCCCAAAGATAGTACTTAGATAGTTAGACTGTCAAAACATTTCTAATAGCGTCTGCTTATTGATGACAGGGGCATTTTGTAGTCTAGGGCGAGAAACCAATACAAAACGGTGATATGCCAATTCTTCCCAAGGGTATTCGTCCCACACTAAATTTTGCTGTTTTTTCCTAATAATCTTGATTACAATTATTATTGGGATAATACAATTTTGACTTGTGCACACAAACAGAATAAAATGACAGTCTGTAGAAGGTTTTGTAGGGGAAAATGAGTTTTATCCAAAGATTTTCCTTTATTCTTGTTCCTGTAAGCCAGTTGCTTTAAGATTTTGAAAATTTCGAACGGTCAAATTCAATACATGTTTGTGATTTTCAAGATTTATAACCAATTAACGTTTAAGTTTTTTTTTGCAGGAAGTAAAGGACAATTAGTTTTTTTCTGGCAAAGGTAGAATCCGAGCTGGCCAGAATTTTCGCCTTATCAATAATTCTCAACTATTTATTTACATTCAGGCTACAAGTATTGCCAAAGTATTTCAGATTTAATTTAAGATATGTTTCATCTATGCATTTTAACATTCATGTGTATTCCTAATGACAACATGTGCAAAAACACACAATGATATATACCTACTAGTGTTTTCGACCGTTCATATTCAATATATCCTAAACATAAAATGCAACGGTGAATTGCAACAAGAATTTAGCAGATGATGCATGGACCCCTACTTTTTCAATGGTGTAAATATAAGAAAAAATAAACGAGAGGGCAATTTTGGGGTTACCAAGCCCCAAACATAAATGAAAGGTGATATACCAATCACATGTATACATTGAGCTGATAAACACAATGTAGTTTTAAACATGTCGAATAACTATTATGCTTTTTCACATAACCCAAACATGTTAAGTCGTGTTTATTGTGTAAAGTCTATACCTTCGGGTAAGTACCAGCTATTTGAAAATCATCTGAAGATACACTGACCATAAATTAATTAACTTCAACAGCAAAGTCATCAATTTAGCACTGTGGATAAGTCTAAAATTGAATCAAAAACTTTTAAAAGAGCTTGTTTTATCTACTGTTTTGAAAACACGGAAGAGATATGGTGAAGTCAAATGTACCGTTAATGTGTATACTACCATTGTGTTGACACTTCTGTTATTGGACCGTTACTATCCAAAAGTATCACCATTTAAGCCAGTACTTCGGTACTGATATGAAAATAAGGATAGTGTGCAATTGTAATTTGGTGCTACGAAATTCAAATTAGTAAATATATATTCCCTCATGCAAATCTCCGATTCATTGGCCGGTTACGGCTATACTTTCGTGGTTTATAAGCTAATCATTGTTTGAATAAGTTTTTGATTTTTTTAATATTTTGGCCAGGAGCATCGCTTAAGAGACCGGTATTGTCAAAATGCAGTGCATTAAACTAAGTTCCTTTAATGTTAATCGAAACATCGAAAATCTGACATGGCAAATGTTCAAAATTTCCAGTTGTTTCAATACTATTGATATTGGAAAAAGCGTTAAACTACTCTCATATGAATTGAGTTATTGTCCTCAAATGACGAATTTTTATTATTTTGATCTTTCTAGCCTCATCTTTTGAAATCTATAAAACAGAAAAAAACAAAAAACTTAAAAATTATCAGTACATTATAAGATAAGATGTATAACTGAATCGTCAGTTGAGTCCGTGTAGGAGTTATTGTCCTTGAATTTGACTTTTTTTTTGCTTTTGGCCTTTTATCTTAAAAACACTAGATATTTTGAAAATAATTTTAAATATCAAATAAGTTCAGCAGGAGAAGATCTGAAAATATATCATATGGCATATATTTTCGGTCGACTAATTGAAAGAGTAATTGCCCTTTGTTTATGCTTTTACGCAATTTTGCAGGTTTGGCGAAAGCTACAGTAGATAAAGAATACCACTAAACCGGAAAAAATATCAACAAGACAAGATGTAGAAAAAGAGAGGTGATAGACACCAGAGGGACATTCAAACTCATAAGTCGAAAATAAACTGACAACGCCATGGTTAAAAACGAAAAAGACAAGCAGACAAACAATAGTACACAAACTTGCTTTAATTACACAAAGCAATGTGAATTCAAAATCAGTCAAAATATCATAATCGGTTATCTATTTTTATTTAAAATTGTTTCTAATTTATCAATATGATTAAACTATTTGGTAAAGTTACCGTTTGGTATCATAAGTCTCTCTTCTGTAATATGAAAAGATAATATGAATGGAATATAGTATGAATTTGCACATTTTAAAGCTAATTGAATATTACTGCTGTAAGTGAATTAATGCCAGGATCGTGAGAAAAGTTGTTTGGAAGTTTCTTTTTATATCAAAATTAAGAGAAGGTATTTTTGAGGTTTATTTAAAAAAAAACTAATATCAAGTGAAGGTGTGACCAAGTCAGGAATATGACAGTTGTTATACATTCGTTTGAAGTGTTTGAGCTTTTGATTTTGCCATTTGATTGGGGACTTTCCGTTTTTAATTTTCCTCGGAGTTTTTTTATTTGTGATTTTACTTTTTTCTCTAGTAAATAGGTGTATATTAGTTATTACAATCTATAGTAGGAAATAATGATATGTATAACATTTGTGGTAGATTCTGACTGGTACATGACTAGATGAATTCAATATTACTAGAATGATCAACGACGAGTAGAGTAAGTTAACGATTAATGTATCTATAGGTGGAAGATTTGAACGGTCTTGGTTTGCACTTGATTTTAAGACCGAGGGGATAGGGTTTATCACTTGTGCGTTGAATATGTTGCTGTCAAAGAGCCTTGTCATTAAAAAAAGGTAGTAACGTCCTATACTATGCGAAGTTACAATAAGGTAATGTGTAAGAAACATCCTGCTAATAATGCATAGTGTTTGGACGTATCTATTGTTCTGCTTTGCAAATTTTTTCAAAAGACAATTTGTAAATGATTTACATAAAGTCAAAATTATTTGTGCGCTGATGGTTATCTTGCATACAAATAACACTGAATGAAAGCAAAAACAGATTTATTCTCCGAAAGCAAAGAAAGCATAATATATTGACAGCATTAACATTAATATGTACAAACAACAATGGTGAAATAATACATTTTTTTTTATTCTCAAATCAATTAAATAAAAGATTACTCAGTGTAAAATAAAAGTTTATAGCCCTTAAACATTTAGGCTTGTACAAGCAGAAAGGTTTTTGATTAAGTGGAGTAAACATTATTCATTAAAATGAACTGTGTGGTTAAAAAATAAGATTTGTATATTGTCAATATAAAGTGCATATGCAGTAAAGTTGATATTATTTTGCCCATATAAATGATATAGAGGTTGCTTGCAAACCAATATCCTATTGAATGAAAAATACATGTTTGTAGGTGTCTGGGAAAAAAGACGACTGAGTGTCATTTGTACATTGACCTTTCAATGTACAGACATTTGTTTTCTTGTCATACTCTGCTGCGGCACAGGCTGTATTTGTGATGCACCTTCTAGTACACTGAATGTCATGTTGTGCTACAGATGTCTCTAGGACAGGACCAATATATCCGTATCCGATTTTTCCACATGCATATGTAGTATAAGTGCTTGAAAAATCTTCAAAAGAAAAAAAATTATAAACAATTATTTATTCTATTGATAAGAGATTTTATTTGTCTAACACGAGGATACTGCGTACAGTATCAGGAGCCACCGTTTTATACAATTTGCAGATTAAATCAATTTTCAAGGCCAAATAGTTGATATCACACTAGATTGAGGATAATGAACAACGGATTCTGAATAAAGCAGATGAAAGCTTGACAACCACTGACGAGTTTCTTGAAGCGAGACATGATAATGAGCCACGTTTATCAGTCGTGGTAAAATTGTTGTTTGCTGAAAGTCCAGTTGAATATTATTATTGAGAATATACAGGTACAAGTAATTTACAATTCAACAGGTCGATATTATTTTATGTATGATGTACATTAATCAAGAAGCACATTTCTTCGAAGGGACCGATCTGCAAATGTGTCTATAATTTGAGCAATATCGTTTCGGCTATGCTTATTAAGAGAATCTTTGATTTTATGAAGAAAATAAGTCGATTATTTGAATATTTTTTATTAGCTTGCTCGAATTTTGACCAGTTTGTGTTGATCGCGAACTGTTGTAATTTAATTGGTGTATATGGAGAGCCAATGCATGTCAAAATCTTTCAATGGCAACTCTCACCTTAATATATATTTCATTACTGTTTTCAAACAAATATCGCAAGAATTTGTAAATATTCTGAATAACAACTTTTGGATTTTTTCAAATCTGATACTTCAAGAGAAAGTTATTTGCGAGATGCAAGTACTGGTAAGCAGCAAAACATTGAATTCGCTGGCATGTTAAAGATGTTTGCTAATCTTTTTCTGACATTTTTGTCAGATATTCGGTATCCTCTGTTAGTTTTATCCGTGCAATGCTTTTCTACGGACTCCATCACGAGTTGGTTGACCGTTATGGAATAACTGTTTCACAGATGATATCGGATATGTTCCTTATGTCGTATCTACAATACCCTTCCCTTTTCACGAATGTGACCTACCGAATTACACTATTTACCGGATTTGTAATAACATAAGCAACACGACGGGTGCCACATGTAGAGCAGGATCTGCTCACCCTTCCGGAGCACCTGGGATCACCCCCAGTTTTTGGTGGGGTTCGTGTTACAGAAGAAAGGTTCAGTGGTCTTGTTTGTTTGGCTGGGAACTTGTGACATCACAGAAAGGATTTTACAGTCAAAAGTTTACGTTGATAAGAGGAACATAAATTTAGGGGAAGCTACTGACAAAATATTTGTTCAGTTCAGTAGAATTATAGACTTTCTTTTTCAATAAGAAGGAACTATAATAAGTTTGCATTCCACCTTATTCTGCGGCAATCTATAATCAGGATAGTGACATAACAAACCGGATTTTTTTTTAAAACAGATGAGTTCTTCAAACAGGGAGTTAAGCTTTTGAACACACAAATTGAACAGTTAAACACATACATGGGGAGGAATACGCTTAAATTTCAGACATATATTATCAAAACAAGATCACATAACAGACAACATATTAATTTCCACCAGCTAAGAGACGGGTTGCATCATAGCGAAATATTGGCACAGAAGTGGCTGAGAAGGCTGCAACTCGACATATGCCAGGAGTGGTGGTTAGACAAGGAATAATTTTCAGTACACGGTGATCTGCAGGAATTACAGTCTTTGTATATTGCAAATAAACAGCAGATATGAATGACAATCGAGAAACAGAATTTAAAACAACCATTGAGACAGGTTCTGATAGAAAACTAAGTGAAGATTCCCAATCAAATGGTGATCAATTAGGCATTAAAATGCTGAACGCGTAAGAAAGAATGGGTAACGACACGGAAACCTTGGCTGACACCATGACTTATATGGTTAGGAAACAAGATTAGATGTCTGCCAATACAATGCAACTACTCCACTAACAAAGTTGAACTTTGGAAGTGTTAAACGATACATTTTTGCAGAACCGGATACAGAACCAGAGACAATAAAATCGGACCTTAGGAGCACAGGAACCAGCACTTCCGATCACACAGATGAGGATTTTCTTGGATCTTCTCCTTGCCAAAAGTATGGATTCTATGATGCTAATGATAAACATCGAGACCCTAATTTGTGTGAAAACAAGCCAATTTTTATATTGGTCAAGCGGGAAACCCAGACTATCTCTGTTCAATCAAGATAATAATCTGACATCAGATTTACAGTTCGGTCGTTGGAACAGTCCCAGACCATCTTCATTCATTTTAGATGATAACCCAACAGGATATTCACAGTTTGGTTGTGGGAACAGTCCTAGGCTACCGTCACAGAATTTAGATGATGACAGATAGTTCGGGAGTTTGCAGTTCGGTCACGGGAACAGTCAGTCCCAGGTCAGCTGCAATTTCATACACACCATTGTCATCAATACGCAAAGAATCAACAAATTACATCGGTTTCAGACCATTGTTATGTACTATACAAGGATGGGAGTCAACGCCTACGGGCACAAATACTAGACTGAATTCCACCAGAAACATACAACCTTCGTCTTCTAGGGAGAATGCAGCAATCTCTTCTAGTGAAAATGCAGCAATTAACAGTAGTAACAAAACACAGCAGACAAGAGCAAAAGTAATAAAGAATGACGTTCCCCGCCAAAAACTTCATTAAGGATTCATTATCCCATTCAACAGAGCAGCTAGTACAAACGAATGGAGAGAGGAGGAGAAGTAAGATATGTACATGGAATTCCGCGACAGGAGAGAGACAATTTTGAGTCCCTGTCGCGTCATATACAAAACAGGTTCAGGGGAAAAGAGCCTCCTACCACTGCACGAAAACACCTATCCTATATTAGACAACAGAATGAAAAGAATGAAGAGTTTGCTTAAGAAGTCAGGCGATTAGTTTCTAGAGCATACCCAACAAGTAGCTATGTATATAAAGTATCGAACTACAAGAGGAATTAGCAGCAGAACACTTTTTGAAGGGCCATAAGAAACATGAGATAGCATATGAAACTTTAACGCGACAACGTAAGCTGTATCTTCAGCACTAGATATTGTTGTACAACTGTAACACAATTAGCATGCACTAGTAACGGGTTTTACTACTGAAACGGTCATTTTAAACTGAACAACTCTTAAATGCCTGAATTTACCGCAAGGAAAAATGTCAAGATCTTTTTCAGTTGTTCAGTACATGTTCAGTACACTAACTATCGCGATCGATTAAGTACCAGTCAGTACTGGTTTAGGTAATTAAGAAAAAACCCGTAGCGTTAAATCCAGTACTGTTTAGTACATTTTAGTACACGTCAGTTCATCGATAAAATAGTTGATTGGGAGTTTTCAGTAGCATCCAGTACCAGGTAAATCTATCAATTTTGACATAAAATTGTTTGTGCAGATTAATAAGGCGTGTCTCCCTTTATTCGAGCTTGTTTGTAATACCCTGATTTCTCAATTATATTCATGTCCTTCCGTGAAAATTTGTTTGCTTTGTTCAATTGTCCAAAATAAAATATATGTGAGGGTTAAATGAGCATAAATTACAACTAAAATGAAATATGTTTTTTCGGAATTGCGTACAAATTTACCTAGCTTTAACGGCTTTCGGTAAAATTCTACAACTTTTAACCTTTAAAAAATGTATACTCAATTGATTAATTCGGACTTGACAATAAGACTTTATTATTGTAAAAATCAATTTTAACTTTAACTATGACATGTAGTTTTATGAGATTAAAATTCATTGAATATCATTCAATTTGCAATGTATATTTGTTCATGTTTTAATATCAAATATACTCTATTGCAATCATAAAAATATAGCAAGTTTCCAAATGGAAAGAAATATTGATGATCGAAAATAACTTTTTTACTTCTTTTTGGTAAAGTGTATCTATAAAGATTATGTTCCGTAATGACAGGAATTTTTTATTCGAGGTCTGTAAAAATACTAGACACAAGCTTTTATTAATACTTCGTTAGTTAGCGAGTAAAAAAGAATCGAAATTTATAACCGTTAAAGAATATTGTTTATACAGCATAAAACATAAAAGGCTCCTTAAGTCTCCATTCGTTGCTGCATAATGAGTCGCTAAAAAACGACGATTTTCAAATAAAATGTCAAAAAATAGTTGTCAAATCCGTGAGTAAATACGTAAATACGTAAACCTTAGCAACAAATACCATGAATTGCGTATTTTAGATATTCAAGATAATTGAAATAAAAATGATCACACCCCCCCCCCCCCCCCGAAAAAAAAAACAAAACAAAACATGTAAGATAGCTTTTTGTTTTTTAAATTACATGTTTAATTTGGATATTGGTTGGCTTCGTATTTTACTTGTTTTCAGGTGTTTTTCTTTTTTTTTTAATGACAAATGAAAAAAAGAGTCTAATATCTATAATCTTGTATAAAATAAAATTTTGACCAAAATAAAAACCCAAAATTTGTTAAAATTACTTTAATAAACGAGTATTCAATTATAATGTCCATGCCGTACAAAAAAAGCACCCGGAAAATAGCAGTTTGATAAAGGGATAAATTCGTATATACCCGGCAAATAATGACAAATACCAAATTCTATTATTATGTATACATGTATGTATATTATATAATCATCACAAATGTATATTATTGCTTATGTGTATAATATCATCCAACAAATTTCCATTGTCCAGGTGACTGCGACCGATCGATAATATAAGTCCAATATGCGTGTCGTATGCAGAATGTCGTCCCTCCTCTGGTCGGTTGACAAATTAAATATGAAATGACAAGTATAAACACACAAGAAACAGATTATTCGGTCTGTACATGCCTGTATTGGTTGAAGGCATATAATTGCTGATATATTTGTCATTGAAACTCTGATTGAAATTTGTCTTATTGGCATCGTACAACATCTCCTTATTTATATTTTGAAAAAAATGTCACTGCCAGCGGTTATGTATAATAAATGATAATATTGATGAACTAATGTTTCTGTTTACGTTAAACCGAAATATAAACATTAACTCTTCCATCAGACAG